TTCCTGCTTTGTCAAGGGTTTCAGTCTCCTCCTATGCTCAGCGTCCATCCTCCTGTCCTTTCAAAACACATCAAAGAAGACCACTAAAGGCAAAGACCACAGAAAGGTGGCAGAAGGTTAGCTTGTCCACCCCCCACTGGCAAGCAGTGACCACACCCAAGATCTTTCAGATTTCCCAAAGCAACCAATCACCTTACCTTGCCTGAATGGGTCCTACATGTCTCAACATTCTCCCTTCAGTATCTTCTTCCTAATCTAATTACAAGGAACTGAATGGAATCAGCTTTGTTTCCATACACAGGAACAAATGAAATGACTACTCCAGATTGGCTTGCTGGATGCAGTGTAAACTCCAGAGTAAGGGTATCACAGGCTCTTACCAGGAGGCTCCTCTGGGGAAGCACAGAGAACAGGTTCTAAAGTTCAGATCCAGTTCCCTGCCTAAGCAGTGACTGGATAATTCTCAAAACTCCTTTGTTTCCAGTGAATCAGGAAAATATATTCATTACTCTGCAGACTCACCCCAGTCTGACTGAGCCTAGAGTAACTGAAATGTAATTGGGAAGCATACATGCTAATAGGAACACATAGAAAAAATTGGTCTTGAAGATTTGGGGCTTAAAAGACAATGACTAGAGGATGACTTCCTAAAACCTGAGGAAGAGATCAGAGATGAACCTGAGTCAGGAAGGACTCAATGTTCCTTGAATAGATTTCCCAGGGCTGGATGCTAAATTATGTTTCTGGTGGTTACCGAGGATAAATAAACTACCTAAATAATTTTTCAGTGACCACAGGAACCAGAATTCAGCTCCAACAAGGCTAGGGAGAGACATAAAAGTCAAACTTGGAAGTAGAATGGAGACAACTAACTGTACTGTTTGTATCTCTATAAAAAAAAACAAAACAGGAAAATCAGAAATGTACTTGAGATCCCCTCTTCTGAGGCAGCACATGTGTGCACAGCCTTCTTCTGGCCTGATGACATGATCTACCTAAGTTTTGCAAGTTAGTTGTTAAATGCAGCCATTATTGAAATTTAAATTATATAAACTTACAATTTAAAAAGTTATATAAAACAAAAGAGATCAGTAATCAAAACTCATCACTTCCTAATTATTTTACTATAGTACACTTTTTCTTACCTCTTGAGGTTATCAATTTCTCTGAGATCTGTACAATGGAAATACTCTACAGTGTGGTAATACTCTACAGTAGAGTAATACTCTACTGCTCATTCTCCCGACTCCATGCCAAGAACATCATGTTGGCAACCTGAAATCAGTCATGGTAGAAAAATCTATATCACAGAAATGGCAAATGGTATAAATTATGGCTTCCCTGCCTCTTACACACTCCCACCCTCCCAAACTCACTGTTAAATATTTATCACTGCAAGAGTTCCCCTCCAACTCTGACAAGATTTCATGCAGCAGAAATGACAAACAACCAAGGGGTCCCTGAAGCAAAATCCTAAGAGCAGAAACTTCCCTCCCTGCTCACCAAGCAGTGGTAATTGCAGTAATGATGACTGCCATCCAGCCTCAGACAGAGGAACTTCCCTGGCTTCCCTGGTGAGTCACCCTAACAGGAAGTTGTTTCTAGAGTCTCTCTAAAATCTCTCTTACTGACCTCTGGCCAAGATGGAGGCATAGGTAGATACACTGTGCCTCCTCACACAACAAAAAGAAGGACAACAACAAACTTAAAAACAAAAACAAGAACTGCCAGAAAATCAAACTTATGGAAGTCCAACCACCAAGGAGTTAAAGAAGAAACATTCATCCAGACCAGTAGGAGGGGCAAAGACAGGCAGCTGGGGAGGAGAGGACCTGCATGGGCAAGGCAACAGCTGGCAGACCAGGTGAGGTAGTGGCTGGTGGACCAGTTGGTCCCACATTTGCATGTGGATAAACCCAGAGGAAAAACTGGGGAGTGAGACAGACCTTGCAACCCCGGGTCCCAGCACAGGGAAAGAAAGCCTCAAAACCTTTGACTGAAAAAACCTGTGGGGGTGGCAGCAGTGGGAGAAACTTCCAGCCTTACAGGAGAATTTGTTGGAGAGCCCACAGGGTCCTAGAATGCACACAAACCCACACACCTGGGAATCAGCATCAAAAGGGCCCAATTTGCTTGTGGGCAGCAGGGGAAGAGACTGAAAGCAGGATGAGAGCTGAACAAGCAGCATTGTTCCCTCTCTGATACCCAACCCACCTCCCATACATACTTAGGAACTTCTGAGACAACTTTAAACATTCCAACATCCAAATCATAAGATGCCAGAAGGAGAAGAGGAAGAACAAGAAATGGGAAACTTATTTGAACAAATAATGAAGGAGAACTTCCCCAATCTGGCAAAGGAAATAGACTTCCAGGAAGTCCAGGAAGCTCAAAGAGCCCCAAAGAAGTTGGACCCAAGGAAGCACACACCAAGGCACAGCATAATCACATTAGCCAAGACAAAAGATAAGGAGAGAATCTTAAAAGCAGCAGGAGAATAAGAAAGAGTTACCTAAAAAGGAGTTCCCATAAGACTATCAGCTGATTTCTCAAAAAGAACCTTACAGGCAAGAAGGGGCTGGAAAAAAGTATTCCAAGTCATGAAAGGCAAGGACCTACATCCAAGATTACTCTATCCAGCAAAGCTTTCATTTAGAATGGAAGGGCAGATAGAGTGCTTCCAGATAAGGTCAAGTTAAAGGAGTTCATCATCACCAAGCCCTTATTATATGAAATGTTAAAGGGACTTATCTAAGAAAAAGAAGAAGATGACAAATATGAACAGTAAAATGACAACAAACTCACAACTATGAACAACCAAACCTAAAAAAAAAAAACAAAAACAAAAACAAACTAAGCAAACAACTAGAACAGTAACAGAATCACAGAAATAGAGATCACATGGAGGGTTATCAGCATGGGGTGGGGGGAATGGCGGAAAAGGTACAGGGAATAAGTAGCATAGATGGTAGGTACAAAATAGACAGGGGGAGGTTAAGAATAGTAGAAGAAATGTAGAAGCCAAAGAACTTATATGTATGACCCATGGACATGAACTGAGGGGGTAATGCAGGTGGGAGGGGGGATGCAGGGCAGAGGGGAATAAAGGGTGGGAAATGGGACAACTGTAATAGCATAATCAATAAAATATATTTTAAGAAAGGAAAAGAAAAAATTAAATAAAATATCTCTTACTGCTTTTTAATGAAAAAAATCTCTCTTACTGCTTACTATTTTTTTGTTTGTTGTTTTTGCCAGAACCTCACTGTTCTCATCCTTTAAATGAAGGCTAAGTCTGAGATGGTTTTCTGATTCCTGGAGTGGGAAAGGTGATGTCATTAAACACAACCTGTACATACAGCCAGCTAGCTGCCTGCCTCTCTCACCACCCTGCAAGAGGCTGAGCTGGAGGATCCTCAGACTGGGAGGGCCTTCCCCAAGTCATCGTAGTCAGTTCTTTGATTTAGGGCAAACATGTGCCAGGCCCAGTGCCCTGCCAAAGGTCTAACTCTCTATCTACTGATTCATCTTACAGGTATACATAAATGTATGTAAATAAATGAAGGGATGGATGGTTCCTACAGTTCTCTGTTCACCTCACTGTTTAATCCCCTCATTCCCTGTATCCCCACATATCCCCAAGAACCTCCCACTTCCCCACCTCCACCTCAAGACATTCATCCCTGGCTCCCTCTGTGCCACCATTGTCTCTTTTTTCTTCCCCAAGTCTGTCAAGGCAGAGTCAGCAATGCCATTGCTCTTTTGCAAATACCCAAGCCAACCAAAAGGGCCTCCTAGTTATTTATTAACCAAGCAGAGTTTCTGGGTTTTCTCAGTTAAGAAGCTTGAAAACCAGATACTTTGAGATCCATCCATACCCATGCTTCATGTGGCTTTAGGGTAGGAACAGAAAGAATTAGGAAGCCCTGTTTTGCCTGGAAAGAAAAAGAGGCAAAGTAAAAAGGAAGTGCCTAGCTCTCAACTGGCAAGTGGCTGGGCAGAGGTAGGTAGAACAGAGTGACTATGAAGTACCACACATGCTCTTCAGAGGACCCTCAATCCCTAGACCAGCCACAGGTGCAGTTGTGTGCCTGTTGCAGCCATCTTGTATGTAGTGCAACCACTTTGTCCATTAGTGGAACTGGACATGTGAAGTTGAGGGTTCTCTAAGAGTAGAACTTGGACCAAGGGATAAAAGCTCTATGGGGACCAAATAGAAAGAACATATCTCTGAAAGTCAGAGACGTATGCCACTGGTGGTATTCAAGAAGAGGCTGGAATAGCCTTTGTCAGGAATGCTCTAGAGAGAATTAAAAGTCAAACATGCCTGAATGAAAACTTGTGGTATGACCTGTGTGGCCTTGATCAACATGCCTAATCCCTCTGAGCCTCAGTTTCCTCATCTGTGTAATGGGATAATGCACAACTCCATACTATTAAAGTAAGAATTAAACAAGACAAAATATCAAGAAGCACCTGGGACTAACTGGGTGCCTAATAAATGTCAATCCCCTTACCATTAAAAGGGGGGCTAGTTAGAGGAACTTGAAGGTCTTTCTACCCCAGAGCATGACCCTGAAACCCTTCCTAATTGTTGAAAGGGAAGGCGTACATCTGGGAGAAATAAGAAAGTCAGAATGAGGTAGATGGGGGGCAGAGGAAGAAGAATGTCAAGAATAGTCTGGAAATATTCAGAGAAATCATCCCTGCCAGCCCCTTGCTTCCCCACTTCTGACCATCTATAATAAAAGAGAAAAGCAGGATTCTGGACTTTATACCCAGCCTGAGGGGTATCAGTATCCCCATCTGTGTAGTGAAGGAATAGGATTAGATAGCCCCTTCCAGCTCTGACTGCTCCCCATCTAAAGAGGAAATTATACAGGAAGGTGCAGGACGACAGCGAGCGACATCCCTGATACGGAAGCAGAACCTCCATCCAACCTCATACACAACACTCCGTGGAACCAAAGACACCTGTCTCAGTTCTTACAGTTTCTTTATTGTGTTAAAAACTGCCGCCTCAGAGCTCAGATCTCACACATAGACCAGCTCAGGCCAGACCCATACCCGCCCTGCCCTGGGAACCTCTTCCTTGGCTGGGGATACTGGGCCTCTCTGGTCTCAGTCTCTTTCAGACACTTCTTCCTTCTCCGGGAGCCTGGGGCGGGGGAAGTGGGGGCGGGTTTTGCGGAGAGGGCTCCTGGTAGACATTATCTGCCCGCCCTGCCCCCTCCTACTTTGGGGACAAGGCTCTGCCTCCCTACTCATTTCTGAAGGGAAATGCTTTCAGTCCACAGCCTCCAGGTGGCCTGGGCAGGTGGGGTCTGAGCAGCCCGAGTTTGTCCCCTGCGGCGACATAGGGAGCCGGCACCCTTTTCCTGCCGGAGCACAGCCTGGCTCACACCAACAGGCCGTCCTTGCCCGGCAGTGACCCCTGGGCGCAGTCGGTGGGCTCGGTGCTGGTGACTTTGACATAAACCTGGGAAGGGCCCGCTTCGCAGGCAGCAGCAGCTGTGCGGGTCGCCAGGGCCACGTCCTCCTGGCCACCGCTGGGCGGAGGCGCATACTTGAGGCGCAGAGAACGGCTGACGGTCTGAGTCGGGTACCCCAGCAGGTGGGTGAGGCGCCTGCCGCGCCCACTGGCTTTGCACCCAGGTGCAACGGCGTCCTCTCTGTGGAGACAACAGGTGGGCAGGTGAGCCGATTCCTAGGCGACGTGGCGTGGGCTGGCCTAGCAGAGCGGTGGCTGTTGGCCACCTCTTGGGTCCTGCGCCCCCTCCCCTGGCACCTCCTTGCCCCACCGACTCTCCTCTCTGCCTCTTCTTGGACCAGAGACACCACAGCGGTTCTGCGCAGACAGGGCTTGTCCATATGTGTTCGTCCGACCGCCCGAGGCATGCAGCCCCATCTAGGTGCTCTCCAGTCCCCTTCTGATGTTTTCCCAGAACCGCCGACTTTAATAGGAAGCGAACCTTGGAGATCCAGAAGGAGCTGCTTTCGGGTACTTCTTTCTTTAACTTATCTTGTCCTTGCCCTCTCTCACTTTCTTCTCACCTCCTGCCCCTTAATCTTCATCTATTCCTCCATCCCCAGGTTATTTATAATCATCAGCACTACAAGTCTTGTTCTATTTTTATTTCTAGTTTGTTTCTAATATAATGTATTAGCACTACTCTTAATTCTTCTTAAATAAATATGTCCAGAGTTCTCACCAGCTCAATACAGGGGAAAAGTGGAAGAATACAGGCCCTGCCCTCAAGGGCTTACAGTCTAGATAAGACAGAGAGGGGTGCACACAGGGAGATTGGGGCATGGGAACAGAGCTGAAGACTGGGCATGGGAAAGGGGAAAGAGAAAAGCCACGTAACAAGTGGCATGTCTACATGCTGTGGTCCCAGCACTCTGTGGCAATGGTGGGCAAGGTTGGGATGTCAGGTAGAAGCGAGGAGGGGCAGGGTGCCAGTCCCCTGTTGCACAGCAGCATGCAGCATGCATCAGGTTTTACCTGATCTCATTAGCCAAGTCTCCACAGGCCCCTCCACTGCCGCCGTTGCTGTAGCTGAAGGCACCGCGGGCACAGCCGGCCCCAGCTCCCCCACAGCAGCAGCAGATGAGCCCCCAGATGCCCAGCAGCAGACAGCCCAGCAAGAGCAAAGAGCCCAGCACTGCTCCGATGATCACGCCAACACGCCGGGAGTCTGTGGAGAGAAGGAGAGGCCAGTCAGGCTCTCTGCAGCCTAACAGGTGCCTGACTAACCAAGTGGTGCCAGGGCAGAGTGTCTGGGAGAAAGGGGCCTTCAGGACCCTGGGACACCCAGTGAGGAAGATATGGAGAGATTCAAGGTTAACTTGTTAACCCCTTATGCTTGCATGTTACCCCGAGGGCTCCCCAGCTGCCCTAGACTAAGACCTATATTCAACACATCAGGCAGGAAGAGCCAGCTGGAGCTCCAAAAGACAGCCCAGATTCCTCCAGTCCAGATACAGGGCCCCCAAAGCCACTGCACCTACCTGAGACCTTCACCTCTACCACACATACACTGTAGCCCACATGGTTGGCCACTGTGCACTGGTACAGCCCATCGTCCTCACGGGAGATATCCTTCAACACCAGGTCACCGTTGTTCAATAGACCTGAAACTGAAGTTGCAGCACAGAGCTTATAGTGAGGCAGAGGGTCCTGAATGTCTCAGAGCCCCACCCCAACCTCAGGTACTGTAGGGTGGGAGATGGAAGGAAGGACATTGTGTGCATGCACACACCCAGGTCCACTCCACACCTCAGGTGAGTCGCCTTCCCCCTGCTGAAACAAAGAGGAAAGGAAGGACCCCTCTGTCAGCAACAGGACATCACCATTAATTCACTCTGTGCCCTTAGAGAAATAGGTTCCTTCTCTGAACCTTGGTTTCCTCCTTTGTACTATCTTTGTTTTCACTATCTTTGTAGTGAAGATGGAGTTAGATTAAAGGAATTCTAAGGCTCGCACCATCTCCAATCGTCTTGGTTGGATTTTTGAGTACTAGCCAGCTTCTCTGTGTGCTGGCAGCTTTGCACACTTCACCCCCATTTAATCCTCATAGGCCCCTGGAAGTTAGTATTCTTATTTCCTTTCCGTATATGACGAACCAAGGCACAGAGAGGTTAAACCACTTGCCTGTGTCTTGCAGTCAATCAGTGGTCCAGCCAGGATTCAAGCCCAGCTGTCTATCTCAGACCATGCTCTTTCCAAATTAACCATACTGCTTTTGGCTGACCCTCCCCTACCCCTATGCCTGAAACAGGCTCAGAGGAGGCATCTCCCACAGAGGTTATAGGTTTGACTTGGTGCCACTGATGACTCAGGGAAAGTCCCAGCAAATTCTAAAGTCCTGATCTTCCACTCATCTCTCCCCCCTCTCTCTGGGCCCCCTCACCTTGATTTATGGAGCTGTGTAAGGACTCCTGGTAGGACAGTTCAGAGTAGAAACTGTGCTGGGAATGATAGGATCCTGCACGGTAGGGGTGGGTGTGCCCACTGATCTTGGCCCACTTGTAGGAAAGAGGTGGGGTGCCCCCATTGGCAAAGCACTTCAGCACCACATCATTGCCATGTGCCATGTGGCCATCAGTCCAGCACATGGGCACTGCAGGTCGAGCTGCAGAGAAGCAGGTAATTGTGAGACAGGCTCAGCCAAGAGGCAGAGCCAGGTTCAGAGTGGCCAAGCCACCCTTGATTCTGAAGTCTGGGGAAGGGGAGCCTAGAAGAAATTGGCCATACCTTGGACGGTGACAATGACCTTCCGAGTTGCCATGGTGGTCTTCTTTACCCGGCACTCATAAGTAGCTGTGTCAGATACCTGTAGGTTCATAAGGTTTATGGAGGCATCATATTGGCTGGGGTCTGAGGCTGCAAAGCGGACCCTCTGTTGCAAGTGGGGGAGATTGCCATGGTTGATCCTCTTGTCCTGGTAACTAAGGAACTGTGGAAAAGAGGAAAAAAAAAAAACAGGTGGTGAGACAGACAGAAACAAGGAGGGCCATGTGGATTGGTTCCCTTGGGCAATTCACTCAACATTTGAGACTCACTTTTCTCAGGTAAAAAATGGGAATGATGATGCCTGGTCCACTGACCTTTTACAAAATGTGTAGGATCAGATAAGATCAAGTGCTTTGGAAAGCATAAGGTCAGGCTAGGAACTTTTTGAAGGCAGGTACCACCCCTTTGGAATGATGGTCGAGTTTCATCCCTGCCCAATTCCATGAGATCCTTGGAGGAAGTTCAAGGTCTTGGTTTTATTATCTGCCCTTCTCCCCTCAGAGCATTTGCTGCCCACCAGGCAGACCATGGAGTGTAGGGTAAGAGGAACCAGGTGCCCAGCACTCACCACATTCTCCCGAGGTGAGGGGTCTGAATTGACCTGCATCCACTCAATGTCCAGCCCACTGGGACCATAATCCTCAGGGTCTAAAACATAGGGGCAGCCCAATCTCACATTGTCACCTTCTGCCAGGTACAGGACCTCCTGGCCATCCCCGTTGATCCGCACAGAGGACAGCAGTGCTAGGGGAAGGGTAGAACAGGTAGGTTGAGGGGAATAGAACCAGAACTTGAGTCATCAACTTCAGCCTCTCCCTCCACCATTCTGTATCAGAAACAATCCAGGCTCATTGGGGGTTCCATAGAGAGTAGGGGCTGCTCTGAGTGTGTGTCTGTGTATGTATGTGAAGCAGCATATACAAATCTGTGCACACTTGTGTATGCACATTTATATTCTATGATGTGTAAGATTGCATCTGAATCCTGATTATTTATATACAGCTATTAGTTATGCTTGTATGTGTGCATGATTGTGTATGCACATGAGTGTATACACATGTGTACATATGTGTTTATGAGTATTTGTGGCTGCTTATGTGTACTGCAAGGATACTCATGCCATAACCAGGGTAGGGTGTCTGCTTTTATATTTACATAATTGTGTGTGTGTACATTGTGCACATGGAGCACACAGAGCTGTTAAATGCTCTGATAGAGGAGCCTGGCTGGTTAAAGACTGCCTCTGTCTGGGCCAAGTGAGGTGCTCCTATCTGGAAGCAGGAGAATGGACACCATGGTCCCTGGTATCCCTTCCCAGCCTAAGAAATGGAAGATGGGAGGTGTCCATGTGTCTTGTGTATGACAGTGCATGTGTGTGACTATATGCCTGTGTTTGACAGCTGGTGCCTGGCTGTCAGTGTTCTGAGCGATAGGGCATGCCTGTGGATGACAGGGGAAAGCTGTGACTGGGGTGTATTTGTTTGTGACAGTAAATGATGGTGTGTACCTGGGACTGTGACCACATGCACCTATAGGACAATGTGAGCCTTGTGTGATGAAATGTAGCAGTGTGGACTTTGTGTCCTGTCCTTGTATGATTGTATGGCTTGTTGGCTGCCCCCACATGCTCACTCCAATTGGGGCCCCTCCTGCTGCTGCCATCCTACTCCATTGAGTCAGCCTGGGTGAGGACCTGGCATCTGGAAACTCAGCACTGAGCTCCTCTCCCTCCCTGTTCAGAAGCCCAGGCAAGCACTAGCCCCAACCAGTTGGACCTACAAAGAAATAGAAGGGGGTGTGTTCAGGGCTCCAACCTTGGCAAGCAGGACAAGTACACTCCATTTCCCAGTCTCCTGCACCCCACCCTCCCCACACCCCTTTGTCTAGCCTGGCTCACTCTCCTCCTTTCTTTGTTGAGAAGGAGCAAGTCCTTTGGAGTTTCAGCCCCTGGTCTCAGCAACTCACTCTGCTCTGCCCTTTTCTGAGTCTCTCTTAAGACCACCTTCCCACTTAGAGAGCATCTCACACACACAATTATACCCTGTCACAGCCAAACACATAAACACACAGACACATTCTATAAGCCTTCCAAATGCAGGTCCATACTTATGCAGTCCCACCTTCCTGCACACAAATACTATCAGATCCACACAGACACACATCTGCACACAAACACAAGTCCAGAGTTATCCAGAGGACACACCCACTACACACCACAAGGTCCACATGTACTTAGTCAAGGCCAGACATACCCGAAGAAGCTTACCCTCATTCTAAAGAGCCAGGAGGCACTCTTCCAACATGCCCAATAGCTCAGGCATCAACTGAACTTGCCCCTAAGAACTTTGGCTAAACCATCAGCCATGCCCTAACCCCACTAGGCTCCAGGGGGACCCAGAACAGGCAGATTAGCTGCTGGGGCTCTAACGGACCTGGTGAGGCCTCCTTCAGCCCCAGGCCAAGTGAACATAAGCTCATTTCTGAGATAAGGATCCTGATGCCATCTGCCATATCCTAGGGTGGCACAAGGCAAGCCAGGGATGAGCCAGAACTAAGCAGAGAGCAGAGGCTCCACCCTAAGGAACAGCTCCTAGAAGCAACCCACAAAGAGAGGACTCTTCTCTATGCCTGGGGGCCAGCGAGCAAGAGGGTAAGTATACAGGGAAGGGAGTTTGGGAAGGAGGGGCAAACTGGAAGAATGCCTTCACCCTGCACTAGGCTGTGTGTCTTACATTGTCCCAGGCTAAGGAGCCTCACCCCAGCCGTTCACTCTCCCTAAAAGCTTTCTCAACCTCTTCCTAAAAGCTGCAGCCCTTCTGCATTCCCTCACTCTTCTGGGGAAGTTCTCCCTCGTGTCTGACCCTGATTTCTCCTGCTGTGGCACTGAGGAAATGTGAAAGAAGAGAGAGACAGGAGAAAGGAAGAAAGCAAGAGTAGAAGAGAATTCTGAGCAAGATTTGGAGAAAGGGAGGGAAATCATAGTGGGCTCCAAGAAAGAGGGCAGTAGTAACTAATTGTCTCCCTACAAAAACACCAGGGGCTACACAGTCTCTGTGCATATCACCTCAATAGTCTAATTCTCAACTTGTAAATCTTTTGTGAATTTCAGGCTGCTTTCAGAGCTCCTAACCCTTCTTCTGGAGGTAAGGAAGGAGAAGAGAAGGGAGGGGAGAAAAGGCAGCCCCCACAAGAGGATACTGGTTTATAAATACACACAGAATAAACCCAGGATATACACCACAAACATGGAGATATCCCAGGTTCCCAAAGCAAAGCTGGAACTTCTTGCATGGGTTCTGCCAGAGACAGAGGGCATTGCAGACATTCTAATGGAAACTCGATCATTCATACACACACACACACACACACACACACACACACACACACACAGGCTGAAAATACTTTCCTCGTTGTTAGCTCCTCCCTCACAATCTCTCATCCCCCAACTCAGACCCCAGGGTGGGTCTCAGAGCCATTTCCAGCAATATCCACATAGAGTGGCCCTTGCTGAGACTTGTCCCAACCTGGGCAGGTAGCCACAGTTTCCAACCTTAACATGTGCCCCAGTGGGGTGCTGTCCCCATCATCCTGGAGGGTGAACACTACCCTGGAACTCTCATAACACATGGGCCTGAAGTGGAGGCCTCAGGTCAGGACTGTAACTGGCAGTGTTGGCCACATTAGTCAGAGACTCTGCCCTCTGGAGGCAACTCCCTAACCTGGGCTCTGGCCTGAGGGTGTGGGGCCCTCCTGCTGGAATCACACACATATTAGTGAAAAGGGCTCCTTACCAGGCTCCTCCTTAGCTCCCACCCAGCTTTGCTACTCACATGATTATCCACCCCACTCCCAGTTCCCAAAGCCCTGTACTCCCAGTCACAGCACATGTGTGCGTGAGCCCCACACTGAGGGACCGTCAAAGACCTCTGCCCCAAAACTTCAGGCATGGGGCTCTCCTAAGGAGAGGATCCTGGCAATATCCAAACCTGGGTGGCAGCAGGGCAAGGGTGTGCTGCATCGTCCCAGGGCATCTCAGACAACTGCCAAGGCTCCTCTGTGTGCCCCTTGCTGCCCTTTTCTCTGCCCATCAAGCATTGTACAGGCATCCCTGCCTGCTGCCCAGCCCCATACCTGGGCTCAAGCACACGAGTAGAAGGTGGAATGCTCCTCGAACTCCCATGTCTCTAGGCTCGGTGTTTCCTCCGCCTGGGCTGGGTATCCCTGGGCTGGTGGCTGTGGGGCCAGGGCGGCCCGGGCCGTGGTACTGCGTTTGTGGGAATGGGTAGAAGAGGGGGGAGCTGAGGACCCAGATGCTGCCCAGGGTGGCAAGAAGGTGCAATGAGTGCTCGGCTGGGGAACAGCCAGAGTTATTTGTATGGAAGGGAGGGGGCCTGGTCCCCGCCTCAGGGAGGAGTCCCAAAAACCCTAATTATCAGGGTGACAGAATGGCCTACCCAGCCATCACCCAAGCTCTTCCCTGTCCAGAGAGTGAGGCAGGATTGCCAGTGGGACTTATAATTAGGCTCCTGTTAAACTTCCACTTCCTCCTGGCCCCATCTTCCTCAGGTGACAGCAGTCACCCCATTTTATGACATGCATGAGCTCCTCTCACTACTCAGGTTTGTTGCCTTCTTCCTCAGGGGAAATGGAAGAGGAAGGAGTAGCCAGGCTTGAGGAGGAAGGGTGTCCAAGCTTTGTAGGGTTAACACTGACCCCAGGGTACCGGAGTCTGACACACTTTACAAATCGTGGCCCCTCCTGTTCCTGATCTACTGACAGATACCCCCCTCCACCCTACCCAGGTCAGTGGGAAGGAACACCAGGGAAGGGGATACTAGGGCTGGAAGGAAGGCCCAGGCAGATGAATGGGACCCAGGAATGCCCAACCTGCCTTTTACCTGAGGCCTCTGGCCCTTCAAAAGGAGTCAGCCCTCCTAAGCTAAATGAGAGAGGAAAGGGGTGTGTTTGGGATCAGGGTCTTCTCCTGGCTGCCCCCTCTGGAGCTATGCACCCAACCCATACCTGATGCAAGGTCATCCTTGAATGTAGGGGATCACTGGAAGTGGGGGTATTATAGGGATCCAGCCCAACCTCCCACACTGAACTAAAACCAGTTCAGTGAGGCCTGAAGGAGAAAGACCAAGCTATGTGCAGGGAGCACAGCAAGTACATGGGTTAGTGAGGGGATGTTGGGGAGAATAGCACCAAGAGGGCAAGGGAAGGGGGCATGCCTATGTGTGTGCCCACTCACTGGAATGTGCTATATCTCTACTGAGGAAGGCTAAGCCCCCTGTGTGCATTTCTTTTAGTAAGTGTTTGGTGTCCTTGCTTCACACAGGAAGGGAAACCAAGGTCCCTCATCACTTAGACTGTTCATCAGGGCATAAGCCAGCAAGTTCTGGGCAGGTTAGAGCTGGGGTGGGATGCTTCTGGTGGGCAGAGGGGGAAAGTGGGGGACAACCCTTGCTAGTTGGTCCAGGGGGGACAGAATAGGCCCGAGGCCTCCCGTGGGCTTTAGGAGAGGTGGGTCAGGTCATGAGTGACCCTGTTCAACAGCCCACCCTTCTCCCTGATAGAGGGCACAAGAAGGATAGGAGGAAGAATCTTGGGGAGGGTTATGAGACTCAAGGACACTGCCAGGGCCTGCCCCTCCAGGAAAAATAAGACAGAACAATAAGGAAGCACAAGGAACCCATGCATCACTATATTCCAAACCCCCCCCACCCACACCTCCAACAATAACAGGGTGTTCTGGGACCCTGAATATCCTCATTTCCTTATTATACACAATGAACACAATGAATATCCTCATTTCCTTATTATTTTGAGGTTCATAGGATTGCCCTGCACATTCTGGAAAGCACTTTTTAAAATGGGAACAGAAGCCTGGAGAAACAAGAATTCAGTTCAGGTGAAGCTGCTAGGGCCTTTTGGGGAACATCCAGGCATACTGATTCTCGATCCAGAGTGGTCCAAGAAAAACAGCTTGGTGACCTTACAGGTTACTAGGCCCACCTATGGGGACAAAGCATGCAAGGTCAGTGATGGGTGAAAGGGACAACAGGTGGGACCAGGAAGAGGGAGACTGAAAAGAAAGGAGTAGGATTGTTATTTCATTAAATTGAAGTGTAGGGTTGGAGTTTCATTGGGTTCTGGATTTCATCCAATGTCAGAGTTGAGATGAGGGCTGGATTAAGGCTGGGGTGAAGGTTGGGGTTAGTTGGAATCATGAATGGGGCTGAGGTCAGATTTGAGGTTGAGATGGGAATTAAGGTTGAGATTAGGGTTAGCATAACCACTATAACTGAGGTTAAGTGTGATGGCCAGAATCCATGTTATGATAAGGAATAGGATTTTAGTTTCATTTAAAGGTACGCTTGAGAATGCAGTTACAGCTCAAAGGTTGATGTAGAATTGGGATTATTATGGCTGGGTTAGAATTGAATTTGGAGTATAAGACAGAATAGACTGTGGTTAGGGTTAGAATATAAATTAAAGGTCAGGAGGATTCATGGGGATCAAAAATGAGACTATAATTATGACATAGAAAGGTTTTAGCCTCCATCTGCTTAAGCCAAGTTTAGCTAGAATTTTTATGCCTGTGCTCTGGGAGAATACCAATGGCACATGTTGATTGGGGACCCAAGATTTTTGAGACAATTGCACATATTCATGAACCCATCTGATGGGTATGAAGCAGTTTAATCCAATGACAAATGTAACCTCTGAAGTCCTGCTCCACAACCTCAGTTCACCAATGATTAAGTTCCTAGAAATGGATTTGGGAAGGGGATGCAGGAAACTACCAGTGAGTGGGCCTCTGACACCACAATGAACTGCTAGATGGGGTCCATCAGAAGCAGTTTTACTGGGGTTGTTTCCTGATTTTGGAGTCTAAGAGATGGGAACTGGGGAAGACTGAGGGCCTAGGTACTCCCAGAACAACAGCCACTTTTGAGGGCACCACACCAGGGCCCCTCCAAGCCTCAAAAGACAAGGCACATTGTTTCTTTCCTCAGACCCACTGAGGGCTAATTGCCACCTCCTTGCAATTTGGGGCTCATAAAAGAAGTTGTCAGGCTTCCTGCCTTGTGCCCTGAGCCCTGCATGGGTTGGGGGGACAGTGATGGAGTGAGGGGACTGTGTATCAGCTTAATTTTCTAGCATAGATCTAGCCTATGGCCCCCTTCCTCTGGGACCAGCCCACAGCTTCTCTGAGTTTCAACTTAAGCAGAGGAAGAGGGCCTACTCCTAGAAGGGCTCCTACCCCAATTTCTTCCTCTCATTTCCCCTACCCAGCCTCCACCTCAAACATTTCATTTCCCCACCCACTTCCTTTCCAGATCCCATAAAGGTCTGGACAGAATCCCAAGATTACTGGGATGCTCTCTAAGTTCCCAGGAGAGACAGTGATCACTAAGAAGAGGAGGAACACAGGTGGCATCCAGATGGCTCATCCAGAGGTTCATAGACAGAGACAAAGGAGGTAGAAAGTCACAACAATTTCCAAAAAGGCTCCCTGCTTTTTCCTGAGAAATTAGAGCTCTCTGGGAGAAAATGGCCCGTTTTGTGCATACACCACAATTTGGGTTGTATTTGCTTCTATTGTAAGACAGAAGCAGAAACTCAAAAACATATGCTTAGAAAGCAGTGAACAGACACAGAGGAGAGGGGAAGAGGGAGGTCAAGAACCCAGAGAAGCCCAGAGACTGCTTCTGACACCAGGTGCAGCCTGACCCCAGAACATTTGGGGGAAGGACAGGAGGTGGCCTTGACCCACCTTTCTCCAAAGTGCCCTTCACAGCAACTCAGCACAACTCTTGTAGGTCCTGCCCTCCTCCACCCCAACTATCCCTGAACCCATCCCTGAGACCCCCTGAGCTCAGGCTCAGGTTCCCATCTCCCCTCTCAGCCTCCAGGTCTGCAACTTGACCCTTCTAAAACACACACAGTCAGCAGGCTCTTTAGCACTTCTTCATGTAGACCAGGCTCACCCCTGCAACCCGCAGGAGTGAGCAGCAGCCTCCTGGAATAGCCATACAAGCGTCTGAGGAAAGGTCTGAAAGCAAGAGTCATGAACAGCATGGGATGGACAACATGCTAAATCTCAAACTGGGCAGTCAAGGCACCACATGGACACAGTCACAGAGAAGCCAGGGATCTGCTGAAACTGCTGCCTTTTCACCCAACTCTTGGTGAAGGTTTGGAGTTGGAAGACTACCAGGTGAGACCATGCTTGGATGAGAAGAGTAGGGGGCTTAGAGGTGGTATAGGTGATGTGATAGAATGTCAAGTTCAGTTGAGGAAGGGTTAGAGTTAGTTAGAGAGAGAGAAATGAAAGCCATGTGTAGGGTTCTGTTTGAGGATCTGGGTTAGGGTTAGGGACTGAGGTCTAGATGAGGGCTGGCAGACAAGAATTTTGAACACCTGTGACCTAGGGACTCCCTGAACCCCTCCCTACTGACTTCTCAAGTCTTGGAGATTCCTTCTGGTCCACCTCAGAAGGAGAGGGAATGTTGGGAGGGAGCCTGGATATTCCCACAGCTCTCCCATCAAGTGATATCCTAGAGCTGGCCCAGACTCATAAGAGCAAACAGCACTGAAATGGGCCCCCTTGCTAAAAAGGAGTGGCCATCAGCAGAACACCATAACAAAGGGTAGTTGATTAAATGTTATGAACTGAACTGTTATCAAGGGAGTAATGGAAGAAAGAAGAAATGCTTGTAAAGAGTATGGGCATTCCTAATGACAGACTTGAAGATGAATTAAGAAACCCTAAAGATAAAAGATCTTCACCTCACCAAGATCAACCATATACTACAGAACCTTCTTCCACTCAGCAAATGGGCTGGGCCTTGTACTAGGCCCTGGGCAGCAGTGATTAATGAAATGCAGTGTCTATCCTTCTAGAGCATTTTGTCTGGTCAGGGAGACAAACAAAGGAAGGGAAGCCAGCCCCTCATCCCAGCATGATGAACTGTAGTGATCATGGCAAGGCCCCTGACCTGGTGGGAAGAATGTTTTAAACAGAACTCTGAAGGATATCTGATGATGTGCAGGAGGATTGAGAGAGGTGACTGAAAGAGGACTTTGGTCCTTGGAAAATAAACCAGGGCCCTGTCAGAGACCACAGAGAAGAGAATAAAGTCAAGAGAGACCACTGATGGTTATTTTTGGACTGAGGAACTGAATCTCTGTGGACCTTACACTAGAACACTCAGTGGTATCAGAGCCAGGCCTTCTGCATGGACTAGCCAGGCCTTCCATATGCATATTTGTATGTGGAGAGAGAAACCTTGTCATGGACTAATCCATATGCCCACTGAGACCCTGACCCTTGAATTTGTATAAATTTTGTCTTTATTCTGCCATCTGGATTCCTGCAATACCTATCTGCAGAGAGGAACCATGGTCCTCCCTCAGCCCCCTGGAGGCCCCAGACCTGCCTTTCTGTCCAGGCAGTTGCCAGGGAAGGTGTGTGGGAGCTGGCAGGTGGCGGAGCTAAGCCAGGGGTGTATCTGCCTTGGAGCCTTCCCCACTAAGCCTGTTCTGACCAGCCCTCCCTCTGCTCTCCATGTTTTTTCCTGTTGCCTGGACACTGGGAAAGGGGAAGGAGTGTTGGGAAAGGTGGTGCCAGAGGGGGCAGGGCTCAGAAGCAATACACCTCAGCCAGGGCAGCAGACATGCCCAGCCCAAAGATAAAGTGGAAGGTTCCCGACTTTCCCCATCTTCCTCTCTCCAACAACCCACTCACCTCTCCCTCCCCAAAAAATGTTCAGAAGAACCATGTGTTTCCAGAACTTTGGGCACTCCCCCACATAGGATCAGGCTGTGAAGGAGCTGGGGCAGGAGATATCTGAAGGGACATTGTGTTAAAAAAAAGCCTGAACTTGTTTAGTGTGGTCCCAATGCACTAGGAATGTACAATGAATGCACAGGAAGATATATATTGACTCAATGTTAAGAACTTTCTAAACATCAGGATTGGCCTGAGATGGTTTGGGTTGTTTTATGAGATAACAAGCACCCTGAATCTCAGAAAGTGCAGGCAAGCTCAGACTGTCCAACCATTTGATTAGTGATTACAAAGGAGATTCAAACACCAGAGGCTCCTTGAGGTCCCTTCCTGCCTTGAGATTCTATGATTTGGGGCTCACACTCACTAGCCCAGGGACCAAGAGTCTTTCCCCAAGGACCATGCAGAAAAGATTCGTAGCTCTGGGCACTTTCTCCTGCTCCCCATTCCCTCCCACTGCCTTGATTTCTCTTTCCAGGTGTCTCCTAAGAAAGCCACCTGAAATTTCAACCCTATTTCTGTCCCAGTCTCAAAGTCATCAAAGGACATTGAGATAATGGTGACCCCCTCTCCCAAAAAGACATGGAGAATGAAGGAAGAAATGCAGAGCTTGTACTGCAAGAACATCCCAGCAAGGAGGCTGGGAACTAAAACAAAGGGAAGGTCTACGCTCTTTAAAGGCAGACAAATCAAGAATAACTTAGACATTTCTGGACTCCAGATTTCTATGATGTTGAAAATGAGCTTCTTCCAGGTAACGTTTGTGTGATTTGCCAGTATCTCTCTCAGAGTATGAAAGGGAGAAGGAATGGGGGTAGGGGGCAGGTCACCTTGGCAGCAGCCTAGGATTGGGGAAGAGACTTCTGGTCTGGCATGACCCCTCCCCATCCTCATCTCTCCCTGCATGCAAGTGAGGAACTCTGTGGGATCCATGGCTCAGACTTCTTGTCTGAGACTCCAGCATCTCCCTTCCACTGTTAACTAAACAGCTGCCACCTTTCTTCACCCCAAAAACCTGTCTGGCTTTGAACTTTTGGGGGCCCCTTTTACCTGAGCCTAATCAAAGCGCTTTTACTGAGACCAATTAATGCCCAGACCTAAGTCACAGATGTGGATGCTGGCTTTCAGAGGACATCCCAGCACCCCACTGAGTCAGAGGCAGCCTGGCGTGGCCACCAGGACAGGCTGCTGAGTCATGACCAACTGGAGTTGCTTATTTGGCAGGCACAACGGTCCTGAGACAGCCTCCAAGTTACAGCAGAGCATGCCACAGGCAACAAGCATATGTGGGCAGGGGGGGCATGGAGTCCAGCCAGAAGCTAGGGGACACATGCTCAGGTAGTCACTGCTGAAGATCTGATTCGGTGCTCCAAGATAGAGCCCAACCACTGGATTTTCCAGGCTACACAAGCCCAGTCCGACATTGTAAGGACAAGAAGACCAGAGGGCAGAAGAAAGGGAGCTGGGAAGCCAATCAGGGACCCATAAAACAAAGTGTCAGTAGTTTAGGCGCTTTTTTTTTTTCCTGCAAGCTTCTTACATCTTTACATCAATCGAGGGAGCACACCAAACAGCACTTCCTACTCATCCCAAGATTTCCCCAATACCACTCTCCTTTTTGCAGTTTCCCAGACACCTCTGAGCTGATTCGGTGGCTTGGAGGAACGTATAGAGCTCATTTCATCCTCTGAGAACTAGGAGGGAAAGCTGAAGCTACCCTAAGAGAAAGTATGGCCCACTCAAAGGCCCAACCTCTAGCAACAAGACTGAGGCTAGTTATTCCTGAGCTGGCAGGCCCACTAAGTCACTAAGTCTTCCACAAATTCTGGTTTTCTCTCTTCTTTGTCTCAAGGTCTCACCCCTCCCCTTTGCAAGTTGGACTGATGTCATCCCCTGCTGTTTCTGCCAACACTATCATGCTTGGCCCCACCAGCCCCCAGTTAACACCAGGTACTTTTCCCTGTAATTATTCCCATTGCCACTCACGAGTGAGAGCAGTGGAGTTTTTATAAAAGATTCCCTGAAGTGGCCAGCTAGCCTCAGATGCCAGCTACTGACCTGGCTGTCAGTAGTGTCCCACTTTTAGGGACAAGATTCTACAGATGAGTCAGGCCAGTCCTGAAGCAGTTTCTTGGGAATCCAGAAAGAAGAAGCCAAACCTCTCTTCCACATCATGAGTCAATTCCAAGAATTCCTACAGGGGGACAACCCTAAGGGCTAACTCTGAGCTTCTCTCCCAAACCTGCTTCACTTGCTCAGAGGTAGCTATGCTTCCCCATCTGAAGCTGGCTTCAAATTGATTCATGTAACCTATAACTGCCCCCACCATGTCCAAGCCATGGGACAGGCAGATGTCTGTGTTGTGGCACTGCCTGGAGTTGAAAGGGCTCAGGCAGGAGAGGGCTGAGACACGAGGGTAAGCCTAGGTTCAGACACGACCTACTTCACAGATGTGGTCTGAGTCTAGTAAGAGCTCTGCCTCAAGCAGTCCAGTGCCTCCTTCCCTGTTCTTCCCAGCCCAACCCTGCCCCAGCCTCTCCCTGAGAGCATCTCTAACTCTTTGCCTCAGCCCTAGAATGACTGAGTTGGGTGTGGACTGGAGGCAACTAGACTGTGCTGAAAGCTGACATGATGGAAACACCCCAAAGGGTCACAAAGAGGCCATGATCCACCAGAACAAATGAACTACCTGGCTTAGGATAGTCATGAAGAGTATCCTTGTATTCCCAGCCCCTAAGTGTCACACCACCCACACCTGGAACTCCTATAACCTATTTTGCTTCACTACCCTGTAGTAGCCACATCCCCACACAAGGAAATTGGGCTGTTCCTTAAAGTAGAATAGATTTAATCTGTAACTACGAAATGTCAGCAGCAATCATGGACACCCAGAGATTGGGTGAAACCTTCCCCTGCAGGCATCCAGAGTAGCTAGAGGCACCCCTCAGTTCACAGAGGTGGCTGGATGGATGTTAGCTTTGCGCTCAGCTTCAATGCAGTACTTCTCAGGAAGGCCAGTGGCTCTGCAGGAAAAGCATGGGGTAGATGTAAGGGGAGGGTAAGACCAGAGAGGAGGCAGCAGGAAATGAGTGGACTTTGGGTGGGCTTTCAGAACCTGGGGTTCTGTACCCCCAACCCCACTCCCAGGATTTATCTCCCAAACATATTCCTGTCAAAGCTCCATCATCCTGCCAAGTAGTTCTCAGAAAGCCAGGAAAACCCAAATCCCAGGACTTTTTGCTGGAGGTTTGCCTTCAGAAGGCAACCTTCCTGAGTGTCTCTGCAATGCCCCTTCACTCCCTGAATCCCAGCTTTCCAGCCATGCCATCCCCTTGGGGAAGGGGAGAGGAGTTGGGGAAGAGCACCTCAGCTCTTCAATCTTTCTCTTCTTTATGTCATCAATGCGCTCACGCCGCTTCTGGGCCTCCTCTTGGAGGCGCCGGCCCTCCTCGAAGGTGGTGATCCTGTCCTGCACCTGCTTCTGCTGGTTCTCACGCACCTGGCGACGGAGCTCGTTGGCATGCTGTAAACGCCCTGTGGCTTTTTTCTCTTCCTCCAGCCTCTCGTTTTCAATCTGCTCTCTCTGAGCCCTGGAGGAGGAACACAGGTTGTGTAATTGGCCAGGCTGCTCTGCCCCTGCCAAGGAAAGGCACTGGGAGAACCTCCAGGGTGGGCTCCTCCAGTTGATGTGTCTCAGAGACCCATACTTTGATCCTTTTTTGTGGCTCAGAGATCAGCCTCCAAGGCTGCCTCTGCACATGCTCCCCCCTCTCATCCAGCCAGGACATGCAACAGTATGCCACCTGCACACTTAGAAGGGCCCCATGCTTGACCTAATGCTCTGCTGTCACTGTTCTGAAATTCTTAACAGTTTTTAAACAAAGGGCCCTACAATCTCATTTTTCATTGGGTCCTGCAAATTATGTAGCTGGTCCTACACTCATGGTTTCACTCACTAGAAGCTATTATTTTTACTCTTCTCTCCTATAACAAAGCATAACTCCCCTCCAGCTTGTTCTAAGATATCTTTATTTTTTTTCTCTCTCTCCCTTCTTCCTTCTCTAACTTTCTTCTTTCCTTTCTTCCTTCTCATGAACAGTAATGATAAAATACAAAACCAACAATAGAGATACTTAGGAAGTTAAAAAGGAAGTGGTAAAATCTGTCATGCAAGCTCTCCTTAATTGCTGGAAGAAAAAAGGAACTCAGCCTGATATCTTTTAGTTCTCTTGTTGCTCCAACTCTCCAAATTCCTCTTAGGAGTCTTTTTTACAAGAATACTTCATGAACCAAAGAGCTTGTTTCACAGGAATACTTCATGGACTCTGACATGAGGAGGTGGAAATGGCTAATATAGACTAGATAGGCTCAGAAAAAACTCAAATGAAATATATTCATATCTCAGAGGAAATACAGTCATAAACCATCCAGAGATATCATTTTATTTCTTTCTCAACATAATAAAAAATGTAAAATCATCTTAGGCAGGGATCTCTCACCTGCTCTGCTCCCCTGGGATCACTCACACCTAAACAAAGGTACCAAAAGCACTGCTTCACTTATCATTTCCCTCTAGCTATACATGGGGTATGAGTTCAACTCCCAGCAATTCTTTTATACTATGCAAACACCTTTTAAAGTTCTACTCCCAAAACAAAACCCTCTTAGTTTACCAGAAGAGAAAGTGCTGACTTTCTTGACACCAAATCCCCACTGTTCAGGCATATCCACGGCAGCAGGAAGTCTCTCCTCTTTGCCTTGCTATTATTTTTCTATATAGAGAACAGTTTCCTATTGTTTCACATTACATGAAACAGGGTGACACTGGGGAACCTGTATATGTCACTAGAGAATCCCTGGGGTGGCTGACAGTTGAAAATCTGAACAGGGAAGAACCTGGACATTTCACAGTACTAGAGCAGTGATCTGGAGGCTTCCAAAAACCACTGATGCCTGGGCCTCACCCCAGACCAGTTAAGTCACAATCTTGGAGATGCAGCCTGGGCATAAGTACTTTTTGAAAGTTCCCAGGCATTTCTAGGAACCACTGGGTAGGATAGGTTAGTTGTCTCTGCTTAGTCAACAGGCTGAGAGTTAAAGGCATCTCTGTCCAGAAGCAGAAAGTCCATATATAGGCTACACAGGAGGCTATACTTTTGAAGTAGGAAAATTTGGCTATGGCAGAGATGCTCCCAGCACTTAAGACACCCATCATGGTGGCTACATGGCACTGGAGACACTGGGTACTATCCTAGAACAGGCAAAACTGAATTTCACCAAAGGGCTGGTCTATATTTAATAACTGGCCAATATATATGCTTCAGGCAAACAGAGCAAAGAACAAATAAGTGGGTCAGTGGCAGAAGTAGAACTCTAATTTCTTTCTATTAACATTTATTAGTCCCTGCTAAAGGCAATACAGATGTCCAGTGGCATAGAGGCTAGGGAAGGCAGATATCTGAAAGGCAGACAGCAGCCCAGAAGCAGAATCTTTGGGACCATTAAGAAAGCTGCCTTCTTTACCAGGTACTCAGAGACCATGGCACAACTCTTGAGAGTAGGGAAGGGAAAGCTACAGAGTCAAAGGGCATTGCAGCCAGTAGGGACAGGCTGGGGGTACACAGTCCAATAAAAGACTATGAATCTGACTCTGACAAGAACAGAGATTCGTATGGATCTGCTCTGCCTATAGCCAGGAGTCCAAGGGCCTGGTCTGACATACAAGTAATTGGCTGTACTAAAAAGAAAGATTTAGCCCAGGCTGGTATGGCTCAGTGGACTGAGTGCCAGCCTGTGAACCAAAGGGTAAATGATTCGATTCCCAGTTAGGGCACATGCCTGAGTTGTGGGCCAGGTTCCCAGTAGGGGGTGCATGAGAAGCTACCACACACTGATGTTTCTCTCCCTCTCTTTCTCTCATCCCCCTCTCTAAAAATAAATAAATAAAATCTTTAAAAAATAACAAAAAAAGAAGAAGAAGAAGAAGAAGAAGGACCTAGCACATGTATATCAAGGAAGCTGGACTGCCACTCAGTCTCTACTTATCTCAGCACAATTTCATTAATTTTTATCCCAACCGCCCCAACACACACTCAAATTTTGTTTGGCTTGTTTCATTTTGAAAATTTCTAATCTTATACAGCTGAAGATCTTATAAAGCAAGAATGGAGTCATTCCCAGTTAGACCAGAACAGTTAGAGACTGGAGAACACCCCAGGGGCCACATCTGAGGGTGGCAGACCAGAGCAGTTGTGACTGCTGACTGCTTTAAAGCAGTGACAGTAAGAGATGTGAACACTTAGCTTTCATTTATGTGGTGGAATTATCATTGAGCCATGAGAAAAAACAAAAATAAAAGGATAAAGAGCTGGCAAGGCAGGAGACATGGACAGATATAGGTGATGTTCATCTAAATGAGTCTCTGACATCCTTCTTATAGAATAGGCAAGAAAAGTATTTTGTTCATCTCTAATATTTCCCATAGCACCCAACACAGAGCCTTGAATTTATGTGCTTAGCACATATTTGTCAAATGAATGGCAAAGACCTCCTTTAAAGCCCTGTTCCAATGACCCACAACCAACAGTGTTTGAAGTTTTCTCCATCTCTCCTCAACTTCCCTGCTGCAATTTCATCCCTAACTTGCAGGGGAACATGGAGCAGGAGGTAGTTCACAGAAAGGACAAGATGTATACATTTACTTACACCTTTAACACTTCAGGATAAATCATCCCAATAATCCCCTATTCCTTCAACACTTTCAGATGCCATTTTTCAATTCTCTAATCAGCTCAAGTATCTGAAACATTTCATCCATCTATCTAATTAGAATGACCCCACTGACCCTGTCAAGGTGGATGTGCATCTGTCTGTGGACATGGCCAGAAAGCTTCTCTACCCAACATAGACATTCTTGCCATACTACAAGGAAAAGAAAGCCAAGGTTCCCACCCCTCCTACCGAAGGATCCTCTCAAACTCATCACGGTCCCGTTGCACTTGAACAGCAAGACTGTGCTCCTTTAAAGCCACCTGCTCCAGCCGACTCTTCCGCAGTTTGGTCTCTGTTTCCATCTTCTTCTGTGCATTTTCCTTTTCTTTTCTGCGCCACTCTCTGTCTGCAACCTCCTGGTTGCGCTTGGCCCGCAAGGCATCCTGGGAAAGGAGAGGATGAGGATACCGGTGAGGGTGCAAAACAATGAGGTGCCTTAGGGAAGACACCCCTTCATAGACTTTGACATAAACTGCTTTGAGAAGGTCCATGAATTTCTCTAGCAACAAGGTTATTCTAGGAAAGAATAAATGAAATCCTATCATAGAACTTTCAGGTCAGAAGATACCCTGAGAAGGTCATCTTGTCCTTTCAGCTTACTCATCCCAATTCTTTTCCTATACCTCAAACACCTCCAGGTAGTCCTGAAATTGCTTCCAATTTTTAAAACTGCTAATAATGGAGACGCTTCAGTTTTCTCTGGTGACACATTTCAATGGTTAGTTAAGGTTGAAAATTCTTTACAAAGCTGACAAAAACTTTCTCTTGAACCTTAAGCGCATAATGCACATTGGGTCCTTGCTGCCATAGGCACTGGGCACAGGCCCACCCTTCTTCAGATGATTGGAGTCTAGATAACTAGCATCCTTTCTTGTAAATCTCTCCCTGCTTGAGGCCATTTTACAGGCTGTCACAGGAATAATTAAGTAAATGGGAGAGGTAGAGGGAAGCAGAAACTAAACAGTACCTGTTCTGCCTGGTAATCCTGGGCCTTTTCTTGCATGGCCCTCAGGCGGGCAATCTCCTTCTCTTTCTCCCTCCTGATTCTTTCCTGCTCAGCCTCAAACTCTGCTTCTCGAGCCTGCAAAAAAGAAATGCTTTGTAGAACAGCTCTCATTGAGACAGCCTTGCAGAGAGAAATCAAGCCCCTGTACCAATCTGTCTTGTATCTCCCCTACCACCTCTGGACTCCTTCTAGTAGGGTAAAATGACTAGCAATGCAAGGACATAAAACCAATTAGCATTTATAAAATGTTTTCTCCTATATAATCCCAAAGGGTCCTCACATCTCATGAGACAGACATAGATGAAGAAACTGATGTTCATAGAGATCAAGGGTCCTGCCTAAGATTGCATAGCTAGTCAGCTATCAAACAGGATTTGAATGCAGGTTTCCTGAGCATAGCCTTCATACTCTTTCTACTACTTCACAATTCCCAAGTTACAAGGTCACTGAACCAAGTTTTTAGAAGTAACAACTGGGTCTCCCTGCCTGGCTTGTAAAGTTTAACAGGTGGAGGTTATCTCATTAGTCCCTAGGCAAATGGCCAACATGCTTTGGGCAGTCCCACAGTGGTTGACAGATACCTAAGAAGTGAACCATCAAAATTGGCTCCCTTTGCTACTCCTCTGAAATAACATATATCCCAAAGAGCTTACCAAACCCAGTTTCCCAACAACCATTCCAGGGCAGTCATAGAGTAATGGCTCAGGTTGGGTGGAGATGTGATCTTCTCCATAAGAAACATTCCTTAGCCCTCATTCTACTGTCCTAGACTTCCGTGCAGCTCAATGACTTGCCCGCTTCTAAGCTGTGCACGTTCTGTGTGTCAAGCTGGTCTCTCTGGTCTCCCTGGCTCTAGATGGCAGGGCAGAAAACTCTGGAGGCTTCCACAGACAATTAGCTCTAAAGAGGCAGCTCTGGCTGTAACAGAGACCACTGTGAGATCAGCAAAGGGCTTGTCATATACTTGGATACTTACAGTGGGCTGTGACCTCTTGCAACTCCTTCTGCCAATGTTCTCTCCATGTATGAAGACAAGACATATTCCTCTCCTGCCCAGAAATATATGATTTCTCATTGTTCCATGCTTCTAGCTCTGTTCAAAATCCAAGTCATCCCCAACAACTGCTCTCAGCTCTCTGTCACCTCACCACCTCATTTCTTATCATGGCCACCACAGATGCTCTGCTGCAGCCAGCAAACCTGTTTACCAACTCCAACATTCAGAGAAATAGCCACTGAGTTCCAAACTATGAGCCTAGGTATGTTCGGCCTAGACTGACAGTGGACATACATTGAAGCATTCAGGATATTTTGAATCAATCAGTGACTAGGTTCACAAGGTGGCTGTAATGATTAAATAAATGAGACAACACTTGTGAAGTACTTGACACAGAGCCTGTATGCAAACTAAGCACTCAACAAACGGCAGTGTGTGATCACTATTATGCACAAACCATCTATGAACCTCATCTTGCATGCTCGCTGTTCCCTGTATATTCCTGCATCTAATAAGAAAGCCAAAGCCAACAAATAAGCTTTGTTGAGCTTCATTTTCTGTGCTTTGCATTTGGAGTATGTTGTATATTATATATGCCTTTTCAAATTACACCTTCCCTCCCCTTGTCCATCATTAAAACTTACTATAGAGAAGTACGATGTGCCCTCTGTCATTATGAAACCTCAAAACTAGAGGACAGGACCAACACATATAGAATTGAATAACTTTCCAGCTACCTTGAGTCCTTCCTTTTCTTTTTACATAAACTCATGTTCACTCCATCTAAACCATACTTAAAAGCTTCTTTTACCCACCACTCCTCTAGACCAGGGTGCCAAACTCATTTTTGTCAGGTGCCACATCAGCCTCATGGTCACCTTCAAAGGGCCGAATATAATTTTAGAACTGTATAAATGTAACTACTCCTTAACTAGGGGCAAGGAGCTCTACATTCAGCCCCTTGAAGGCAACCACAAGGCTGATGTTGCCCCCTCTGAAAATGAGTTGGACACCCCTGCTCTAGACCCAGTAATTCCATTATCCCATATTTGCCCCAGAATGAGCCTGCATATTCCTTAATTTCATCCCCCTCGTAACTATTGCAAGTATTGTTCTCTGTTCCATAGTTCATTTGTTTTTATGGATTCTACAGTGGGGGATGGGAGAGACTCTCTTTTCTGAGTCTAGCACCTAGTACAGGATGCCAAATACAATAATTTTCAGAAGAAATTTATGGGAAGCTGACTAATGATTACTGAGTATATCGTATCCAGGTTATGAGGAATCCACAGAAAACTTTACTTTCACCAACAGTCTTAATTTTCTTCCCTCCCTGCACCTGACCCTCATTCCAACTTCTAATCAAAGGTGTTAACAAGGATAATAACACCCTAGGTGTTTTTTCCATGCTCTTCTCTGTTAAGGAACAAGTGGACTGGCCAAGATGAAGAGAAAAAGAAGCCAGGATGTTGAACTAAGGACTAAAGTTTTAGAATGAAGATGGTGCTGCCTTGCACTGCAGTTCCTTCAGTTCCTCTCAGGCCTGCCTCTCCCTATGAAAGACGTTTCATTCCTGGCCAGCAGTCCCAGGCATCAGAAACCAGGTCCCTACCATCTTCTTCTTGGTGAACTCCATCACCATCTGGTCTGCCAGCTTCTCCTGAGCCAGCAGGTCTGCTTTCTGTTTCTGGTTCTCATCATTGATGCGCTTTATCTCAGCTTGCATCTTCAGTTTTTGCTGGTGCCTTCGTTCCATGTCCTGCCAGAAAAAGAAAGACAGCCTCAGAGTAGAAGGGGACAAGACCAAAAGATACTGGCATATAAGGATAGAGAGACACACATAGATTCAGGGAGACAAATGCCTCCAAAGCTATCCTTTGCTACAGCTGTTCTTTCACAAGTTGTCAATGACCTCTTCCAGCCAAATGGCCTCTTTACAGTCTTCATTCAACTTTTGCGGCAGCCTCTGACATTGTTGATCTATGTATACTCTCAGGAAGTACAGGATCTTAAAATTCCAATCAGTGTCTCCCACGTCATGCTAAATACCATCCTTATGGCTTTGTTCATGATGTGTTCCTACTGCCTTCAATTTCCTTCTCCTATTTAAACCCAAACTTTTGGTCATCATCAATAGTAATTATTTTAAATAAGTATTGCCCTAATTGGGTACTTCCTATTCATTGAGCACATAAGCCCATCTCTAACACCTAAACACATCCCCAAACCCTGAAAGTTAGGCCTTGTTATCTTTTCTTGTGCAGAAGAAGATACTGAGGCCCAGAGTTAAAGTGATTTGCCCAGGACTAAACAGCTAATAAACTGCAGAGCCAGGATTTTGAAACCTGATCTGTCTAAAATAAAGTTCCAATCTTCTCTGGAAATCTTGCTCAACTGTCCCAAGTTTCAACTCTTTCTTTATTGCTGATTATCTATCTGCACTTAAGATGGTGCCATGCCTCCTGGGATTTAATAATACACCACCTTGTAGGTCCTGTGAATTTTCTGTGTGTTCATTCTGTCACAGCTGGAAAACAGGGATCATGTGTCGTATTTCCTCTCTTTCACAACAACGTGTAGCCCAATTCAGAGGAACACAGAAAATACTCAATAAACTATTGCTGAATGAGGCAGGGAAGTGGCGACCCTCTCAACATGAGGCAGGAAAGTAGGAATTTCTCAACATGAGTGGCATGTGAGAAAGAAAAAAAAATCTTAGGCACAGGGAAACACAACGAGAGATACAGATCAGAGAACCAATGTGACACTGAATGGCAAGATCCCCTCTAACAAAGAAGCCTCTGCCTTTCCCAGCCCTGGCCTTTGGAAGCACCTGTTGATCACAGGACTTCGGAGCCAAGCACATTCTCAAGTCTCAGTGCTGAGGGACACTGGAATTTTGTGCAGCTGCCTCCCTATTCCCTCCAAATAAACTTGGACTCCTTACTTCAAATTCTTCTACTCACTAACTCACCCTATCTTCCACACTGTTTCCAACTCCTTCCATTTCTTCAAAGGCTAAACTCCTCCCTGATCTTCCAAAACCTCCTTAACCCAGCTTCTACCCTGCCTCATCCAAGGGAATTCTATTTTCTCTCCCTCAGCAGTGAACTGGTTCACTGCCCAGTTCAGGGGTCCTTCTCCCAGGAAGCTTTCTGAACCAGATCAGCACAGCACTGTCTGCCTCTAGCCAGGTCCATGTGAAGCCTGAGTTGTGGCTACCAGCATTCCCTCACTCTCACTGTACCTACCTCCTTGCACAATCCACTTTTCCCCTTTTGCCACTCCAACTCTCACACTCCTTTTCCCCTTCTCCCTTTTTTCCTTTTCCTTCTACCTTCCTCCCCCAGTTTTAGGCCTGTCATTGGTACCCTAGACATTATTTAATCCCATTGACACTAAAGCTAAAAAAGCTGCTGATCTCTGATCTATATCATACAATCAGGTATTTACATTTTTGCCTACTTATTTAATTTTTTGTTTTTGTTGGTTCATTTCATTTATAAGAAACCAAAGAACCTTCCCTGATTCTCATCTTTGAAGCCATTCCAAAGCAACCCCAGATGAACTCCCCTCACTCTTTGCCATCTTGCTAGCAAGGTGGGGAAAGCTGCCATTGCACCATCCTGAGAAGATAAGGAAAATCTGAGCTGCAGAAGCACAAGTTTTTACCTTAAAATTGCCTAACAATACTTCCTGGAGACTCAGCAAATGCCTATTAGAAGGACAGCAAAATGACAATGAGACATCAATGTAATGGTGTTGACTCGATGACACCTGAAACTTTCTCAGTGAGCCCACTAATCCCCACTCACCACAATCTAGTTGGACTTTCCAGCCTCCATTTCTCACGTCTTTCCCTATGTGTTTGTCCCAGACCTCTCCTTCCTGGTCCTTTTTCTTTCTTGAGCCAGGAACTTGACCAGGTATCTCTGTCTTCCTGCCCTGTCGATTGCCTTCTCAAGCAGTTCACAAGGCTACATGGCCCCTCATCTTCACTAACTATCCAGGTGATCTTCCTCTCATACCACAGGGTGCTCTGAGAAGTCTTCATAATTATAAGACTTCTTCAGGGACTCCCTGTCACTCACCACCATCAAATGCACCATTAAATGACAACTCATTCATCCATGAACATGGGGAAGGAGGAGAGAAATAAAAGCATACATCTTCAACAAGTTAAATGGCACCATGAGGAAATAATCACAATGTAGACATTCAAGTCAACCAGCCTGGATGCTTCAAAACATCAGTGTTCTAAAAATAAATGAATGAGCCCTGGCTAGTGTGGCTCAGTTGGTTTGGCATCATCCCACAAACTGAAAGGTCACAGGTTCGATTCCCAGTCAAGGCACATGCCTAGGTTGCAAGTTCGGTCTCCAGTTGGGGCATGTACAGGAGGCAACTGATTGATGTTTCTTACATTGATGGTTCTCTCCCTTTTTCCTCCCACTTTCCTTCTCTCTAGAACCAATAAAAAACTTTTTTTTAACTTTAAAAATAAATGAGTGAATAAAGGAAAGAAGGAAGGAAGAAAGGAAGGACAGAACAACTCTTCTAGATCAAAACAGATTAAAGGACTTAAGTGAGTGATCCTGGTTTGGAAAAAGGAAAACAACTGAAATACATTTTTTAAACAATTGAGGAAATTTGAATATTAATTAAATATTAAATGATATAGAGTCACTGGATTCAACTTTTTGTCAGGGGATGTCATAATGGTTTTGTTGACATGTATACTTTGTTGCTTTGTTCTTCAGGGAGGTGGACTGAAGCATTTAGTAGCAAAGTGTCAAGGTATCAGCAACTACTTTTAAACAGTTTAGCAATAACAAAATACACATATACATCTAAGAGAGATAAGCAACTAAGGCATATTAGCAATCATTAAATCAGTAAAACATTGATGGATGTGGTACAATTTTTTCAACTTGTCTGTGTGTATAAAATTTTCAAAAGTAAAAAATTGAGGGAAAAAATAGTAGATACTCCAAATGCTTGCTATGTCCTTGCTGTGCTTTTTTATACTGCAATAGACTAGAAAAGGCAAATGGAAGAGAATATTTTAAGCCTATTTAGTTTGGGCAGGTATGCCATCATTTCTTATGCAAACAATATGCATACTTTTGCTCCTCGACACAATTAATGACACTGGGATGTTATGTAATTTGAATGAGATAACAGCAGGAGCCTAAAGCTCTGACACTGCTACTGTTCATCTACAAAGTATGTAATATCCCTAGATAATTGAGGGGAGACCAAAAAATATCCTTGTTTATTTGTGTAAGGCAAGCAGCCGTATATTTATAACATGGACATGTTGGTTTTGGACCTAGGTCCCAGGGAGGAAAGGACAGTCTCTATGCAAATTACTGCTCATCCTTAGCATGGATGGCACCAAAGCCAAAGAAATGTTCAATATGGCAATAAAAAAAAAAGTTAACAGTGATGATATTGTGAAATGATCATGTGCCTAACAAAACATTAGTCCACACCCTGGAATCTCCAAATCTTGGAGGACTTTGCTGCTGGTGTTGGTGGAACTTGGCATATCTGTCCAGCCCTGTTACCCTGAGATCTTCTTCTTGGAGTTGCTCCATGTATTCCAGCATCTGCTCCTTTTCCTGCTCCCGCTGCTCAGCAAGCAGCGATCGCTCCTCCTGGTTCTTTTCCATCTGCTGCACAATGTGTCGTCTTCCTCTGGAGGAAACAGGGCCACACTGTCTTAGAAATCAAGGGTCTGTGTCTCTATTCTCCAACTTTCACCCAAATGACTCCCAGGATGGGAGGTGTGGCAGGAACAATTTGAAAAGTGACTTACCCATTGCTATGTCTCCTAAGCCCAGACCAAAGTCCTTCCCCAGTGTCTCAAGGGGATCTCTTCTGAGTTCCTGGTAATGGGGCTCATATTTCTTAATATTCCCTTTCTTCATTTGCTCCTAAGAGTGCACCTGGCATCATAATGCACCTTCTCTCTTTCAGCATGTAAAGAGCTCTGAAATCCTACCGCCTCCCAAGCCTTTCCAGAATAATCACAAGGAGCTGGCTTCTCATGATTACAGAGCTTCACAGAGTTCACAGATTCTTCACAGAGCTTTAAGAGTTCAAATGACCATGGCTTCTCCTTCCTCCAGCACCTCAGCTATCACCCTGTGCAGTTTGTTAACTGTCTTTCTAATATCCTATCTCACATTTTAAGACTGTCAGATACCAGTGAACAGGCTGCATCTGAGGAACCAAACTCTATAATCAGTGTTGCTGTGGCTCCCTGTGTGTTATTGAGATGTCAATAAATGTGGAAGCACCCAGAACCCATCATATATGAGTAAAGTCTGGGAGAATAAGAGAAGACACAGATTAGAATGAGAATCCAGAAGAAAGTGTAAAAAAAATCATTCAGATATAACACTTGAATGTCTTTATGACTCCAAATTAAATAAACAGGAATAATGAGTAAGAGTTACATGGAAGCAGGTTTGAACTCAGTATAAAGACCAGCTCAAATCATTAGAGCTGCCTAATGAGGCAGAGATATTTCCTTGATTGGAGATATTTATGCAAAAGATGAAGAGCGACTTAGCCATTAAATAAACTTTTATTGGAAGCCTATGATAGTGTACCAGGTACCTACTAGAAGTTCAGAGATGAATGGTGTAAGAGAACAGAATACAGATGGAGAAAGAGAACTATCATTCAGTATCATACATGTACTATTTATAGAGGTGATTTTTGTATTTTATGGTTGATATACTAAATCTAGGACACTGTGATTCCATAATTTACCTGCCCTGGGTCTTATCTTTTCCTGTAAAATGAAGAGAACTAAATTTGTCCATTCTAACATGTATTAAGTACCTACAATAAGCTAAACACTCTCCTAAGCCGAGGAGCTACAGAAATGAATGAGATAGGGACCCTGTCCTCCATGACCACGTAGTCTAGTAAGGGTCAGAGAGCCACATTTCAAAAAGTGGTGTGCTGGGTATAAATACAGTGTGATGGGGCACAAAGGACAGAGCCACTGAGCCTGCCTGCAGAAGTAAGGGAGGTTTCTCAGGGGATATGACAGTAAACTACATACTAAGGGAAGAGACTGTTTTCCAGGAGAAATTTTAAAAAAGGATATTCAAAGCAGTGGGAACAACAAGACATGGCAAGATCACGACCTTGTGACAAGATCTGCCAAGTTGCAGGATGGGAGAAAATGTAGAGCGGATGGTAGGAAATTATAACAAATGAGGCTGAATCAGGGCCAGATTGTGAAGCACCTGTTAAAATCTTGGAAATAAGCTTTAGGAAGTTCTGCGGTTCCATGAATCACTTCATGAAGGTTTTGAGATGATAATAGATGGTGATAATGGCTATTTCTCATCTCTTACCTCTGTGAAAGCCTACATGGACCTAAAGATACATGGAAAAGACAGAAAGAGAACTGTTAAAACCTCCTCTTTACCGGATTCTTTCCTCCCTCCTCTTCCTGTCTAGTTCCTCCTGCCTTTGAATGGATTTCTGCCGTTCCACCTCCATCATCTGATCCAACCGCTTCTCCTCTGCATCCAGTTCTTTTTGGATCAGCTGCTTTTCCAGGATTTGGGCATCCCGAATGGCATGGCACTTGGCATTAAGGATGATCTGGGGAGTAGAAATGAAATTGTGGCACTAGGTCTAGGGCTAAGTTAGGGAGGAATGCACAATGAGGGTGTGGAAGTTGGGGGGGAGAGAAATGGGAGCAGAATACTATAAAGTGCACTGAACATGGCTGCTGACAAGCCCAAAAAAGCAAGAACATTCTTATATTTGACATTCCCATTAATATTACTCAAACAACACTTATTGTGCACCTGCTAAGTGCTTCTTTCGGGGAAATGGGTCTTGGTGTTGAGGGCCAGGCCATGTATCACACTTTGGGACTATGATGAAAGCAACGGGCATCCGTCCTCCATAAAGTTCATATAGACAAGAAAATCTCCATGAAACTTTAGAGGTTATGGTCTGCCTTAGGGACCCATAACCCTATTTGAGACCCCTGTTCTATCCTTGGGGAAACTAAAACACTCTTGCAGAGGCCAAGCCACCAAATTTTTAAGCTGAAAGAGCCCAGTGTGATGTAGAAGGGGATGAAAACCTAGGACCATCAATAAGAACCATAAAGTAAAAGCTCTTGAAAATAAAAGAAGGTATTAAGTAAAGAAGATTAACCTGACAGACAGAAATCATAGATAAAGGGGTTGGGGAGTCAACATTTTTCATTTGGTTGGGAAGTAAACCACATGCCAACGAAGAATTCAAATGAGCCTCTGGTGTTTATACTGTCAGCTAAGGCACTTACAAAAGAACCCAAATGCCTGGACCACCCTCTGGGGCCAGAATCAAACTAGTAGGATAAAAATAAAAGTAAAATCCTCCCATTTATTTATCCATCCACAGTGTGCAGAGCCTGTCCCATATATGAGTTCATTAATTCTGCCAAGTAATTTTACCACCCTCACTTTACAAATGAAGAAAGTGAGGCTCAGGGGGGTCAAATGACTTGCTAAAGGTCACACAACTAACACAAGGCAAAGCCAGTGCTCCCTCTGATTACAACAATTACATGGCAGATGCAGGTCTGTCTCACCTCCCCTTCACCCCAGCAAACCCCTTACCTTGCCCTCGCCTTGCCCCATCTCCAGCTGGAGCCAATATGTGAATAAGAGGGGGAAAAGCGTGTAGAGCTCCAACCTTGCTCATGTCCTTGAGCTCCTCCTCCTGCTCCATCCGTAGTTTGTTGGCTCTTTGCAACAGGTTCTGGGCCCTTTCCTTGGCCACCTCCTCTAGGTCACTGAGCTTCTTATTGTTCCTCCAAACCATTTCTTTCTGTTTCATGACCTTCTTACGTGTAGTCACTGCATCCTACAGAAGACCAGTCTGCATCAGTGTGGTATTGCTCTTTGTGCTGTGACCTGGGCACTAGCTTGACTACCACAGGTGACCCAATGTGATTTTTGCTCCACCCCATCATGCCATCAGAACCCAGATGTTTCTCACCCTGGCCTTATCTTACCCCTCCTCTTTCCCCCTAATTGCTCCCGCAACTGGTCTTTATTCTATAGCATGTCTCTGTTCCAGGGTCCCCTAGCTAGAGTCCCCAGTCTCATGGAAAGCTGGCCTCTCCCCAGCACATCTCTCTTCTACCTCCCATCTGTAGAGATCAGGGCTCAAGGGGTTAGCTACCAAGATGGCTTCCTTCTCCTTCCTGAAGGCCTGCTCCCTGGCCTCAAGTTCTTCTCTGGTCAGCACATGGGATGCCCATTTAATCCGAGCAAACTCCTCAGGACTCATGATAAGGGATTCCCCAGAGGGATCCTTTGTGGGAATGCTGACACAAGGAATGAACAAAGTTAGGGAATGGAAGCAAAGGAGAGTTCACATTACACTTCAGGCTTCTCTGCTTTCTTCTTCCCCTCATTACAGCCAACCCTCTGTGCAAACATGGCCAGTGGGAGAAAAGACTGCCAACTGCACTGTGGGTCCACTGGGGAGAAGATGTCCCAGGAGAAGGTGAAGTAGCATCATGGGCTATAAAGGGACATTTTAAGAACTTTTTCTAAAAGGCCCAGCTTATATGTCACCATCTCTTGTAGCCATCCATGGCCCTCCCCACAATGTACATATATGCAGATTCCCCCACCAGGACACCCAACAGACCACCTCCTGCTCTGAGCCCACCATGGTCTGTTCTCACTGGCTGTGTTATAGCCAGCTGGGCATAGCCTGTTTCCTTGCTAGATTACTCCTTCAGGACATGGTCTGTGTCTTAACCACAGCCCAGTGTTGGGAACAGAGTAAGAACTCAAAACAAAGCTGCTGAATTAAACTTTAAAGACAGATTATTCCTCAAGGATGACATAAAAAGAGCAAAGGGATGCCAGAGAGGTTGAAATGAATGCTAGTGAGAATCCTAAACACCCTATCCATTCAGCCCAGTGAGAAGCTTTGAACCCTAAATATTAATTAAAATGTCTGATCAACAACAGTTGGAGACATGTCTATAGACCTCTCCTTTCCAGCCACCCAACCATTCAACAAACCAATAGGTAATTATAATGATTACAAATAAATGACATACATTAAAGGAGGAGGTAAGGGATGCAGGGGGTAGGAATAAAGCTGCTTCTGGGTGAGGCCATTTAACAGGCACATGGCAATGAGACACAGATGTCTAAGGCAGGAAGTGAAACCTCATTTAATTAAACTAGTGTTTGGGGGAGGTCCAGGAGGTGGAGCAAATGGGGCTTAGCCAAGATATACTGGCTGACTAAGAGGCATGGTTCAAAACAGCCTGGAATCTGGAATGATCAGGAATAATCTGAATTTAAAAAAGCATCTCATGGGGTTTCAGCAGCCCTGACAAGGAACCAGCTACTTCATTTCCAGTGTATTTTCAGGACTAGAACACTTCAAGAAGGAACCATTTCTCAGGCCCCAGGGATAGCCACAGGGCTGCTGACTGAGTCTGGCTGTTTGATGCCAAGGCTAACCAGAAAGTGCTCCTGGATCTGTGTCCTAGCTGTACCTACAGCTGTCCTAGCTGTACCCTAGCTCATGACACAGGCAGCATTTGCTAGAAATTCAAGCTTTTAGTGGGAGGAGCCAGAGTAGGAAGAATGGTTTCAGAGAATTAAGCACTAGCACAAGGGCTAAACCACTGAGCAACAAGATTGGCTCATTTCACATTGCTGAGTGAGGCCTACACCCCATAGGAGGAGCTAAGCAAGGGGGCAGCTCTGTTTGGGAGCTGTGCTGACCTAATCCCAAAAGAAACCAACAGCCTGTGGGAATTTCCTTTTTTGGCCTCAGAGCCTGGGAAGAAGTCAAGGGCCTAATTAGGCATCTGGTCAGTTTCCTTTTGCTTCAGATTCTTGAGGCAGCCAAAAGGAAATGATTCATCTGGACCATTGCCTTTACCAAGAGCACTCATGGGACTCAGGAAGGATGCATTAAGCACCTCCCCTATACAAGTCCCCTTAGGTTCCATAGCAGGCAGAAGGACAGACAGAGAAAGAAGATGGGAATCAAGAATAGTGGAAGTAACAGATACAAGAGAGGAAAAAAGAAAGAGGCCAAGATGAAGAAGGAGAAGCATAAAACAGATAAGAGGAAATGAAGACAAAAGAGGTGGAGAATGGATTAACAATGAAACCAGGTGGATTTCCTCATTGCCCTGGAATCCTCAAGTCCTCAGCAGAAGTGCAGGCTGTGACAAGAAGGCAAGACATGGCCTTTGATACTCACATGAGTTCCCGGACCATATCTCGAGTGATGAGCCGGATGGTCTCCGGCTTGTGGTCCAAGCCCAAAGCGGTGAAAGTTTTCCGAATGGCCTGTTTATCTTGGAGTAGCACGATGGGGCTGTCATTCTGGGCCGCGGTCTATTAGTTCAGCAAGGACAGTTTAGAAACTGGTCACCTCACTACCTCTAGTCAGTCCTAACTTCAAGTGCAGCATTCCACTCTCTTGGGGCTTTCACCTATCCAGTGGCAGGGGAAGCTGGCTGGGGCCCAGACTGCAGGACCACCAAAAGTAGCCAGGGCACTGAGAAAGCAGTGTGGTGTTCTGCACTTGAACATAGCCAGATGTGTTGTGTATTGACTGGCTCTTCTGAGAACAAGGCTCTCTATAACTTGTGCAGATACTCCTGGATGGATAAGAAGAGGGAGGGGGTTGCTAGAATGTGTACATACCTTACCTAAAAACATCAGGAATAAAAATTGTAGGCCTCTCACCTCAGTGGATTGAGTGCAGGCCTATGAACCAAAGGGTTGCCAGTTCTATTCCCAGTCAGAGCACATGCCTGGGTTGTGAGCCAGGCCCCCAGTAGGGGGTGTGCAAGTGACAACCACACATTGATGTTTCTCTCCCTCTCTTTGTCCTTCCCTTTCCCCACTCTCTAAAAATAAATAAATAAAATCTTTTTTAAAAATTGTAGGCCTCTAAATTCTCCTCCTCTTTCCATGATTTATAAAAGGAGGGATAATTCTCTCTCTTGGACCACACTGTAGGCTTAAAGCAATACAATTTGTTATGGACTCATCCAATCTATGATACTGATTTTTTAATCCTTTCTAATGGTCTGGATTAATTTACTTTGATTCCCAAAGAAGTCCAAATTGGGGGTGTGAGAACTGGCTAAATGGCCTGGTGAAGACATGCCCTTAAATCTAATATGGTGATAAAGTCAGAGAATTAGAATTCAGCAAGAATAAAAATTAGATATGATTTGTTTTTCAAAATTTTCTGACCATGAAGGAGTGAATAAGAAAAGGAAATCACTGATTTCAGAGAACTTTTGAACACCACAAAGACCTTCATTTATCATTAATGCAGTAAGCATGGTCCTGAGTAGAGGCAGTGAGGTGGCCTCAATGGAAGTCCTTCCTTCCTGAGAACCTCATTTGCACATAGGTCCCAGACTGCTGCTGCCACCTGGTGCCCATCTCTGCTTCCAAGTTGGCACAAGTCAGTCATACCACAGGCCCCTTCTGCCCCCTACTGCTGGTTGAGAGACTTCCTGGAATCTCACCCAGCAGTAAGTCCAAAAAAGCAGGACCAGGAACAGGCAGGCATCTTTCTAACTGCCCTTTTTGCTAGTCAACAGGATAAAGGAAACTCGGCCATTTCTAAATCTATTTTGCTTTGACTAGAAGGGTCACTCTGGGCCCAAAACAAAAAAAAATGTAAGTAAAACTGCATTCCTCTGATTCTTTCCATAGTCGATAAGAAAACTGCTATAGAGTGGGAGTTATCTAAATGCAGGATACCGTCTTGAACCATCTGAAAAGTCCCTTCACAGTGAAGATGGTGAGTAGCAAAGGTAGATGTCACTTCTCTCTTCAACCCTCCCACTGTCAGAGGTATTCACACCAGTATTCAGGCCACCACTGGCATCTTTGCTCTCCCTTTTCTCTTTTAATCCCTCATGGCCTTTCTCTCCATGTCTCATTCTCTTTCTAGACTTGCCTCTCTTCTTTCTCACCTACTGACCTCCCTGTGTACCAAGATTATTCCAATTAACATTCCAGCTCTCCTTCTTAGACTAAAAGAGTTGTCAACCTCTTAGTACAACATTTGCAAATAAAGACCTGCTTGTTTCCCAAAGCTAAGAAATTGTTTTAGTTGAGCACATGGGAAAGGAGAATGACTGTGATTTGCCCTGGTGCTGTTTTTGGATAGAGGGGAAAATACATTGCTCTGTGTCTGCAAGCTTGATCCAGTGTGGCCCTAAAATGTTTTTCTCATGGAGTGTTCACTAAGCAACTATCCAACTCTCTGCAGCTGAGCCTCCCCTTCAATATTACAACAGATTTTCAATGCTGTGCAGACATGAAGGTTTAATGGGTGGAGGACGCCAGGTGTCCTATTTATGTTGTCCCCATCAGATGTCAGAGATCCACTACTGGATCTCAGAACAACCCTCTGCCTTCATCTAAGAGTTACCAGGAGAGGTCACATGCCCAGTGCTAGCTTTGTCCTGAGTAACACTAGTATAAGTTACTGCCTCCACATGGCAGCTACCTGGAGAAACTGCGTGAGAGTTACCTTGATACCTCCAAAGAGGCTCTCATCTACCTCGGAGCTCAAGGCTTTGGTCCGATAGCGAGTCCTATTCCTTGACCTGTTGGAAGTAGCAGAAGAGGAGCTCAGGATACCAGTTGTGTTTAACGGCTGCAGGGAAAGGCAAAAAGTTTGAGCCATTAGTACTGGGTACCACCTGGAACCTTGGCAAGGTAAACACTTCACCAGCCCATGCCAGGGTAAGTAGGGATGCATGTGAAAAAGTCACTGAGGAAAAACACCTGGGTAAACCCTGAAACATAGAAGACACCCACAAAGAAACAGAAAGTCTCTGAGTAGGGGCCAAGCAACTAGCTCACTGAGAAGGAGCATCTCTGTATTCCCAGAGCTGAAGAAGGCCAAGTCATCATGCCATATGGGAGAAAGAAGGTAGGAAATGAGGATGGCAGGAGGATGACCTCATTGTTGTCCCAGTCCCAATTTCCCACAAGGACACTCTCTTGTGAGTCCACTACAGCTTGTCTCCCCACAAATGTATAGTGTCCTCTTCACCTCCAATATTCTCAATGTGGAGTCTAAGCCCCCTTCACAAATGACACTACTATTTGTGAACACTCCTTTACATCTCCACAATCTCAAAAGATTACAGTGGGTACCAGAGGACATTAAGAATAGAAAAGCACCTCATCCACTGCTTGGCACACAGTTGGTGCCTAATAAACTTAAGCAGATAAATGATGACTGATTGCCAGCTATAATCAGATGAACCAGTGCATAACACCATGTGGCTTTCATTCCCAGGACCCCTTTAACGTGCACTAGTCAGTTTTAACCACCCAATGTCTTTCTATGTTTGGAAAGTTCCCATCAACAAGCTGTGGAAGACAAGGGTCATCTCTGACTATCAAAGCTGAAGACACCAGTTATTTTCCCTCCAGGCCTCAGCAAAGCCCATCAGATCACCCATGCCTGCGAAGGATTAGGGGATAAGTGATGCAAAAAGAAGAACAAGGAAAACCTTTCTGGCAAAGGCAGCAGTTGCAACCATATCTGGTGTCTGGGGCAATGCTAACAGGAACACCAGCAGCAGCACCCCACAGCCAAAGCTGCCAGCATTGGGGATACAACACATCATTAAGGATCCTTCCCAGACCAGTGCTGGGTTGTGTAGGGAACCGCTTCACGGAACATGGAAATGTAGCTCAACATCCACATGGAAAACCATGGGGGGTGAGTCGGCAGGCAGGACCACGCCCATGAAGAAGTTCTCCCATGGGAAATCAGGCCTGCATTATACCTAGGCTGCTTTGTGACTTGCTCTTGCTAAAACACTCTCACCCCGAGTTCAGATAGCAAGCCCTTGCTGCATATCTTTAAAGTAACTTCCCGAAGTCTGTGCTAATTCTCCCAAGGACTGAAGTGTAACCAGACCTGTTACTCTTATCATTCCCTTGCATTTGCAACATGTTTTCCTTGTTAATCTGTAAGAAGTAATCAGTAACATCTCTTCCATTGTTATCTGTAAAAAGTAATTACCTAAAGCAAACCTAAGTATAATGAATGAAAATCTTCTTTGATGTATGCTATTAGAAAGCCAATAAAAGCTTGTCAAGGCAAGAGTCGGTGAGCTCTCCTTTTGATACAGTGGCCAGGCTGCTCCAAGGTGCTCTCCGCTTGAGAGAGTAGCTGTGCAGTCCCTTTTCCTCCACAGGACACAGTAGTCTGTGTGAGTTTATCTTGTCTCATCCATAACGCCTCGGACACTGCAGGCCGGTGTCCGGATCAGGGTTATGATTTCGGCCTCTATTCTGGCTGAAACTTCTCCATTTGTTTCCATTTTCCAAGCTTAGTTCCTCAGACTTGTGAAAGTAAGGATTTACAGCCTTTGGTGTAAAGTCCAAAATCCTTATATTAGAGTTCTGGCTCTGATGCTTATAACCAAAAACCCTGATTAACACAACTTTGTTCCCAGAGTTCACCCACCTTCAGCTCAGTCCCCAGAGGAGATGACTGTCTCTAGAAGATGGCTTCTATGAGCACTGAGGGACAATTTCAGGCTTAATCCAAAGCTGGTTCAAACCTCATTTTGCAGAAGCCCACATCTCCACGGTTCTCTAAGCTGGGATGTCTCCAGGGACAGAATGGACAGGAAATGGACTGTGCATTCCAGGTCACTGAACACTGGACCATGTGTTTTGAAAACTCTCTCATCTGCCATGACCAACCAGACACCCCAGCACCTGTTCCACCTGTATCAGGTTTTCACTCTAATTATTCTCCAGCTGGCTTTGTTCCATACAAGGAGCCTGCTGTGTACCCTGTCCCTCACTGCCTGGCAGAGCCAGAAACAGGCTTAGTACACCTCCCTTGGAAGACTCAGTGAGCCCCAATAGAGCAGTTCAGAAAAGCTCGGATTTATTAAAAGGCAAATACAGCAGCCCCATGAAGGCCTAATAACTGACTCATGGTGAGTGGAGAGCAACTGCTCCCCCTTTCCACCAAAGACAAAATAAGAGGAAATGAGTAGAAACTGCAATAGGTGAGACTGAGGCTAAGCAATGGGAATAAGTAGAAGAGGTGGAAGGCACTGGATCATGAGGGATGGTGTGAGTTCTGTAGATAATTAAGGAAAAAGCTGCAGTTGATCCTGACACATAGGTACTCACTATGCATTTGATAGAGAATTAATGAATGAAACCAAGCAAGATGAACTCTCAAGGGCTGCAGGCCAGATTGAGATGGAAGCCTTTCTGGAATACAACTCCCTGACTGCAGGTCACTCCACCACTCCGCATTTTCCACATCACATATGGCCTGCACTGTAGAAAATAATATATGTGAAAAAACTAGAAGACAGATGGAAAGATTATTATTGTTTTGTGTTTGTTTTCACATTTCTTCTCAAGGAGTCTTACAGGATTTCCCTTGTGTTCAGGTGTCCACCAGGCTGCCGGTTCCCCAGGGATGACACTCCATCACCTTTTTCCTACACCCTTAGTACCCAGGTCAAGAGGAAGTCAGTCTCTCTCTCTCTCTCTCTCTCTCTCTCTCTCTCTCTCTCTCTCTCTCTCTCTCTCCCCTCTCTCAGATACTTGACTGCCTGAGTCTAGAAGTCAAAACAGAGGAAATAAAACAGAGGACCACAAAAAGTAGCCACTGGGCAGGACAGAGGGAAGCACTCTAGGGCTGAGTGGCTAAGAAAACCTCACTGGAGAAATGCTGACTTTGAAGCCACAAGTCACACACTAGGGTTAGAACAACCAGTTTTGTTAAGAGTAACAAGAAGGATTAGAGAGATCACTGTATAAAAATGCTAGGAAAAAAAAAAAGAAGAACCAAGCAGAAATGGAAAGTTAGATACCTCTGGGCCAGAGCAGTACCCAAAAGGTCCTTTCAGGTGCTGAAGAGCTGGTTATATTTTTTTCATGAACAAACAGACATCCACAAGAAACTGAGCAGTGCCTAGAAAAAAGCTTGCCTAGTCTTTGGGCGAAGGCAGCCCTTGAAGAAAAGGAAGAGAGATTGGTAGTAATAGCTAAGGAGGTAAGAGCAATTGGAAAAGATGAGGACTGGGGACAGATAAAGATGCGAGATCTGCTTTAATATTTTCTCTTGGTGACTTAGCTGACTTCCTTTCTCTTCAAAAAGTATCCCATCCCAGCAACACAAAAATTTGGCCACTGTTTGGAACTCTGGGAGAGACTCTGATACAGTAAGATAAGAGGGTCAATCACAACATGATTTTGACTTAGTCATTAATGTAGGATGATCTACACATCATTTTAAAGAAATCAGATTATAAAAGACATGTAATTCTATAAAAAGTATTTGTATGAGGGTATGCACCCAGAATGTGTTAGTGAAAGAATGTTCCAAAAAATGTTTAATTTCAGGTGAGCATTATCATAAGATGCTTCTTGTATTGGATAATTTTCTGCAATGGGTAGGTAACTCTTTTTATGATCAGAGAAAAAATGCTATTTCTATTTGAAAACAAAACTTGACAATGGGCCTGATGTCCCAACTCTGAACACAGCTGAGTCTAGCCCTTTAAAAACTGCACATGTTATGTCACAGGATGTTCCACTCAATTCCAGCAAGACAGAGCTGGGATGGGGTTGGAACAGGTCAGTGTGACATTTTCCTGAGAGAACTGTAACACCTGTCAACTGAACATAGACAAAGGCATGTCCTTTCCTGGATGTCCTCTTCACAGTGGGTCTAGTTCCTCTTTTGCATACAGGTTCACTGCAGGGTAGCAAATTCAAGTTCTTGGCCTGTTCCTACCTTCTTTTTCTGTAGGCTTTGGTTACTGAGAAGGTAGGAATGCCCATGCAGCAGACACCTTACCTATTTACTAAGTGATCCACTCAGTTTACCTCTTTCCTCAAATGGAACAATGTTGGCCATCTGTGGGATGCCATCTGAAAATGACATCCTAGTCAGTACTGAGGTCTATCCCTCCTTCTACAAGATGTTGTTATTCCTTGTTTTTGTAAAGGTCCTGGAGGTCTGCCTAATTGTGAGCCCCTCCCCACCACCACCTCTCCCCACTCCTCCAAACACTCTCAAAACTAGTGAGTAGTACCATACCCACACATACACATATATATACACACCCTCGCTCACACACACCTGGCCTAGCAGAAGTTCAGAGGTCACTAACTTGACCTGATGCTTCTAAAAGGTGTACTTATGCCCAGTCATGTTCAAGGGATTTCAGAAGGGTTCAATCAGCAGGCCAAACCTCTGTCCTGAGTGGCCCTTGGATGGGAAATCCCTAATCTAAGTGCACAAAAGCCCACAAGTGTAGCCTAGGTGCAATTCACTGATTAATTTGGGCTTGGAAATATGAAATTTTTTAAACAGGAGAAAAAAAGAACTAACATTTACTATATGCCCTTAGATGCTGAGCATGATGTCAGGCACTCACAGACAGACAGGCACCACTGTGCCAGTAAGGCGCTGAGGAAAGCTGAGAATAATAGGATAACTGCCTACAGTGACAGGGATGCCACTGCAACACTGCAGGGAGTCCTCAAAAGAGGGGAACTGCTCTTTGCTGGAGACTTGTTTATTTTCTAACTAACAAAGCTCTTTTGAAATCTCTACTTAGGGACCTTGCATTTGAACCACTGAGCCCCAGAAAAGCAGTGTCACCTCTGGTCATGAAGTATGTC